AACATCAAGCTGTTGGCAACCTTGGACTCGGCTCACATCCTCTTCCTAAACCAACTTCTCTCTGGGCACACACAGACCCTGTTAAGCTTCCCCTTTGCCCCCACTCTCTTTCTTCCCCACCTGGCAACCCCACTTCCTGAGTCACGCTCCCAAAGCTTACTCATAGCACTATCATGACCAACAACATCTCCAAGGCTCACTTCATTCTAGCCAGACTTGGAGATACTTCAAAGGCCCCATACAATTGGAGAGAAGAATAAGGGAGCTGTTTTTTTTCATTTGTTTGTTTTCTTTTTTTAATACAACACATCCTGAAGGGGATGCCCTGTTTCCATGTGTGTATTTTACTGTGACACAAACCGATCACTCTCAGGCTTCAACAAGCTCGGTGAAGACCTCCACCAGATACAAAACCAAAAAGGCCAAGACAGCTGCAAAGGTTTCTATTTCCCTAGAGATGGGAGTTTCATGGAAGGCTAAGGATCACCACAGCAACCAGACTACAAAAACAGTCGTGGGCTTCAGCACCATAACTCTGGTAAAGCAATTTGTGCTCCGTGAAAGGCTGGGGCACAGAAGTTGAAGAATGATCAAAGTAAACACTTCTCCTCAGGCACCATTTTGTTGTGCTGATTTCAAGACACTGAGTCTCAGCATCGAAGTTCTGTTATGAAAGATGCGCATCAAGTGCCAAGGATTTGCTAGGCTGGACTGCCTGCCCTGGTGCAAAGGTCTGGAGAGAAAGTCATAGCACATTTTCCAAAACAACCATTTCAAATTTGCTCTAAGAGCAGACCAGGGTAAAAATGTATGCCATTATATCAAGTTACCCTGCCCATGCTAGAACAACTGTTGATCCCAATCCTGGATTTAAAAAAAAAAAAAAAAGAGTGGGTGATTTTTTCTCATAAAACCCTAAATAGACTTTATCCCATGCTCAACTTACATAGACTGATTCCTACAGATTTAAGAAAAAAAATTCTCTAAACTTTATTAAATACTAAATGAAAAGAATCACCTGTTCTAGTCTCTGATCTGCTACCCTAAATCTATACTACAGTTTACATAATAAATAAGAAACTACAGCGCACTATTTCTACACTATATAGAAGCAGCAACTATAGAGTATAGTAACTAAAACAGAAATCTCTTCATGGATTTATAAAAGCCTTCAATATTTATTAGTATGATTAATTATTAACTATGTTAACTACAGCTTGAATATATAGAACTTGTCCTTTTTAAAGAAACTCAGATTGGTCTACCTGAGTAATCTTACAATATCCTCAAAAATTAGGTTAAAAAATATATAGTTCCCATTACCAAATTTATAGAAAAATCCCTCAGACCTCTGTTATGTTGGCAGTACACAATGCAGTCCTAAAAAACACTTAGTGGTAGTGAGAAATCTGTAACTTAAACTGCCCCAAACAGGAACACTGAGAAAATACAACCACAACCATGTGATATGTACACATACTTATCACACCCCTTTTCTCTAGGATGTGTCCCACGTATAGTGTGCTGCTTTCTGAATCTTTTGTGGGGAAGGGGTCCACTTACACAATTTCTGGAGTTTCAGCAGATGCTCAGTAAGTCAGCAGGGACTCTGCTGTCAACAGAATTTATTGTTCCATAGGCCCCTCTAGCCCAGCAGTTTGCAATGCATAAGAGGTAATTAGTAATATCTAACACCTAAATGCTTCACAGACAGGAATGAATGGCTTGGCTTACAGGCTTGCTCAGTCTTTTCTAGCCGCACCTTCCTCATTTTATCTCTAGGTTAATAAGCGTGAAGTTACTAAGCAAACAGGGAAAAGAAGTTCTCATGTTATGTTTTGCACATTTACTATTCATTCCTCAGAAACTGAATGGCTATTAAATGCGTAAAGCACTTTACTCAGTCAATCATGTGGAGATACTAAGAATGTTTTAAGATATACTTTATGTATATATTTTTACAGGAATTAAAAACATGATTTCATGTTTAGGAAGTTGAGGTAAAGTCATTTTTTAAGTGAGTAGATTTAAGAAAAATATTAGGGGCCAGGCGCGGTGGCTCATGCCTGTAATCCCAGCACTTTGGGAGGCCAAGGCAGGTGGATCACGAGGTCAGGAGGTCAAGACCATCTTGGCTAACATGGTGAAACACCGTCTTCACTAAAAAATACAAAAAAATTAGCCGGGCGTGGTGGTGGGCACCTGTAGTCCCAGCTACTAGGGAGGCTGAGGCAGGAGAATGGCATGAACCCGGGAGGTGGAGCTTGCAGTGAGCCGAGATCGTGCCACTGCACCCTAGCCTGGGCGACAGAGCAAGACTCTGTCTCAAAAAATAAATAAATAAATAAATAAGATAAATAATGCAAATAATATATGAATACTACACAAACTGTGAAGACTAATAGCACATATAAACTTATATTTGGGAAGCACCACTAGGTAATGAAAGGGCTTCAAATGTGAGTCAGACACAATACTTGCCCTCAAGAAGTTCACAGTGTGATGGGGGCAGAGGGACAGGCAGATACAAACACATCTGTGCGCAGCAGGAAGGGGCACTTCAGCTGGGTTGCAGGGTCAATGGGAAAAGGTGGATCTAAGGGGTCCAAGCAAGGAGGATGCCAGTGGAGGCAGCATGAGTGGGTCTGAGGAATACTTAATTCAGATGGAGCTAAGGAAATATAAAAAAGAATAAAGAAAAATGTCGTTGAAAGGGTACTGGAGCCAGATCACAATGAGCCTTGAAAGCCAAGCTTAACCAGTTAATGAAAGACGACCATTTGCTTTTCGGAGACATGGACCATGATTTGCTTCCTGATAGATAATGAGTACACTAACTTCTGGCTTAGTAAGTGTCACTTAGTTACCCACATTACTGCACTGATTCACTAAAAGAACTTCTGTTACCTGACTTACTTGCCCAAAAGAATACATATCATTCACAAATCTAATAACAATTTTAAATCCCATTTTTGTTTAGGATCCCATTCCAAGTCTTCTATATTGTTGCTGAATTACCAAGGAATATCTTGCATGGTGAGAAAAATCAAGCTTTAGCCCTCAACCCTAAATCTCCTAGACTTGAGGAGTTTGTTCCCTGGCTTTGTTCCCAGGTCATAGTCCCTCAATAAACACTTGTTAAGTTTGGGGTATAACCATAAACTATCAACAAATAGTGAGCTAGGAGCCTTGAGCATTTCTATAAGGAACAACTTATAGGGCCTGGTAATTCTGGTCCTGGTTATATTATTTTATGCAAAAGTCTGTAAGTCCTATCCATAATTCTCTACTGTGTAAGAAATGAGCTGAATTAAGCCTCTTATCTATCCCTCTACTTTATCATCCCTAAGGTGAAAACAAGTCACCATTGTAGAGTGGTGTACAATATCTTCCTGAGATGCCCTCTTAGATCTTGGCAAGACATACCAATACAATATTAGCATCTTCAGTACACATCTGAGACCATTTTAGGTCAGAATCTCTCTCATTCTTTTCAAAGAAGAAAGTAAGTAAACTGTTGGCATGAAATTTTAGAAGAAAAACAGGATTGTCTGATTTCTACAAAATAATCATTTGTTGTTTGTCCTCAAGGAAAAAAAGAAGTTAACTGCCCTTGCCTGAGAAACAGAGGAAATTAACTTTCACTATAAACCACAAACCCTGGTGCTCCCGTTTTGCCTTCCTCCTAATGTAAGATCCTAACATATCATTCATTTTAAAAAGGGGGTCAGGCACAGTGGCTTAGGCCTGTAATCCCAGCACTTTGGGAGGCTGAGGTGGGCAGATCACTTGAGGACAGGAGTTTGAGAGCAGCCTGACCAACACAGTGAAACTTTGTCTCTAAAAATAATAAAAATAAATAAATGAATGATTTTTTTGCTGAAGTATCTTACTTTGGGCTTCAGTCTCCCCATAAATGAAAAGGTTAGACTCTATCTCTATGGCCACCTATAACTCTAGAGCCGATGGCTCTTCCAGTAACTAACAGAGTCAGTAAAACCCTTCAAGACAGATCTCTAGGCCAGGCACGGTGGCTCATGTGTGTAATCCCAGCACTTTGGGAGGCCGAGGTAGGCAGATTACCTGAGGTCAGGAGTTCAAGACCAGCCTGGCCAATATGGTGAAACCCTGTCTCTACTAAAAAATACAAAAATTAGCTGGATGTGGTGACAGGTGCCTATAATCCCAGCTACTCGGGAGGCTGAGGCAGGAGAATTGCATGAATGTAGGAGGCAGAGGTTGCAGTGAGCCAAGATTGCGCCACTGCACTCCAGCCTGGGCAACAGAGCAAGATTGTCTCAAAAACAAAAGATCTCTAGAAATGAATGTATCTCAATAAATGAATTGATGTGACTGAATTATCAATTTCACAAATGCCATGTCACACGAAAATGATTTGTGTACTCAATTAAAAGGAGTAATTTTAAAAAGTTTAGTTTAGCCTGCCAGAGTGAATACTAGAGAACAAAATAGAAGTGCTTTCTTCTTTCAACAAGTGAAAATAGCTTGAAATCCTGGTTTGAAATATTAAATAATGTTTGTTTTAGAGAGTTTATTTGCTTTCCTTAACTTTAATTTTGGATAAGTGTGTGCCCGCTTAGTCTTTTACATTTGGCAGAAGCAAAACAAATAATGAAATACTCAAAGCTAATCCTAAGGGTAAATCATGATTTACAGTGCATTTTAAAATAGGAAGTGTTGACATGGTAATAGTCTAAAAACAAGTTAATATACTTGGTCTTGCTAATTTCTTTTAGACATACTTTTCTTTTATTTGAGAGTCTCACTCTGTCACCCAGGCTGGAATGAAGTGGCATGATCTCGGCTTACTGCAACCTCTGCTTCCCAAATTCAAGAGATTCTCCCACCTCAACCTCCCAAATAGCTGGGAGTACAGACACGCGCCACCAGCCAGGCTAATTTTTGTATATTTAGTAGAGATGGGGTTTCACCATGTTGGCCAAGCTGGTCCCAAACTCCTGGCCTCAAGTGATCCACCCACCTCAGCCTCCCAAAGTGCTGGAATTACAGGCGTAAGCCACCACGCCCGGCCTAGATACACTTTTCAATGAGAGAGTTGTATAATTGATACTGAATTTCAGGAAGATGGGCAGATTTTTTATTGAAATATAAGCTTCCAATAAATCAAAATGAGATTTTAAAAAAAGAGTAAATGCAAACAACAGTATCCCACTGTCAGGTTCTCAAACGCCGTTTTGATGGGATAAATCCTCCTCAGTAAGGACAGTAGCAGTTTTTCGTTAAACCGTACATCACTAGCCTGAGAACAAGTCTCGGTTATCACAGTCGACTCATGTGGTGATTGGGAATTCTTTCAGGGCAACAGGCAATGTGTTAAATGGGCACTGTTGAGGACACTGTGCAAAGTTATGAAATTCTCTCTTTCCCTCCTGACATTTTTCTCCAAATACTTCAGTGGCTACTCCAGAAGCAAAGGAATAGAGAAAAGAATGAAATCAGAACTAGTGAGTGGACTTGGTTTACTGTAAGATCACTGATAAAAGTCTGAAACAAAAGGATAAAACCAAAAATGAAATCTATATATAATAATTGACTTTTAGTGAGAAAGGAGATTTTAGAGACATGCTACTCCAAATGTTTGTTATAGATAAGGAAATTGAAGCCCAAAGAGGTCATGGGTTGCCCAAGTACTGCAGCTGGTTATGACATGGTTGGGACTAGAGCCCAAATATCCACTCTGGTAATCTAGTTTCTACTTCTCTTGCCAGTGGAACTATTCACATTTCTCCTTATAGAACCAATTCTCTGTTGTTAGGAAACAGGGACTCCCCAAGTCTTCAGAATTCAGGGTTAGCTCTTTTAAACACTGGATAAGAACAGAGAAATGTAAAGAAATGCCAAGAAACAACTTCCCACTCGGCAGGGCCCCACATGTTCCAACTCCACAAGGACCAACCGCACCTGCCGCCACTCTCCCCCTTGCTAACTCCACTCCAGCCACACTGGCCCCTCTCTCATCTCCAACAAGCCACTTCCAAGCTGAGGGCCTGGACACCAGCAGATCCTTTATTTGGCCTCTTTTTCACCCAGATCACCCCTTTTCATCACTCAGGTCTCTGTTCAAGTGCACTTCCTCTAAGAAGTCCTTCCCAACCACCCTAACGACCAACTCTTCCTGTCACTTGGATACCCAGGTAGCTCCACAACTTGGTGCTGGGAAATCCTTTCATTTACATTTTTATAAAACTGAAGGGAAAAGACAGAAAACCTGTTGGCATCTATCCCAAGAATATCTCCTGGGCACTTCTAAGTAAAGGTCACTGCCAACAACAAAAAAATAACCAACTTTCAACCTACTCAAGACATGTAAGAATTCAAGACCAAATCTGAATGCATCCCAGAGTTACCTGATTCTGCCAGCAGAAGCCCTGCAGTGCTGAATTTCTGGGCATGTGAATGATATATTGTTGCACTGAAACATTCATTTTCCAAGATTCCTTTCCAAATTCAACTCCATGGTTTTTTTTGTTTTTTGTTTTTTGTTTTCTAAAGGGCAAAATACTAACCTGTTCCCAAGCTATTCAGCAATATTTTGGCACAGGTAATCCATTAAGAGAATTGTTTGTATAGAACAGAGCTGGTGTCAATAACAGGGCGCCCCAACCTGCCCCTCTTTCTAAGCTCTTCACCTATAGACAACGGCCCAGCTATTGACATTTAATTCTTACCAGATGGCTGTTCTATTGCAGCTCAAAGACTTAGCTGCATATGATTAAGTCAACACACAACACTGGGTGCAACATTTAAGCCCACATTTAAGCAAAGTGAAGAGCTTGAGATCATCTAAATGGGAGAAGGAGCAAGGGAAAACTCACTATCCACTGTATCTTTGTTACCTTTGGCAAATTCTCAAGGGTAGGGAGTCAGGACTGCCAGTGCCTGGCACTGTGCCTGACACATTACAAACAGGTGCTTAGTAAATAATGATTTCATTATTGAATAAATGCCTAAGCCTTGGGAAAGCCCACCTTGCCCAGAGCCACTCACAGTGCATGTCAACTCCATCTATAGGAAGTGTGTTGTGAATTCAAGGTTAGATTCTATCAATTACTTCCCAGTTCATGACCTTGGGTAGAACACTTAACCTCTCTTAGCCTCAACTTCCATACCTATAAAACAGAGCTAACAGAATCTCCCTTCCAGGAGTGTTGAAAAACACAAATAAAATGCCAGGTTTTGTAATTATCTGCAAAGAAGCCTACCAGTGTCTGACTTTGGCTCTGATCAGCCTAGTGCCATTACCTCCTGCCTACAGGTCCCTGGATTTTCAAGCAGGGTGACAAATTGGTGACAGCTGCATACATGACCCTCCAAACACTTAACTTCCTCATGAGGAACTAATGGTTGTTCTGCCATTTGTCTGCTTTTCCTTCACCTTTGGGATTTGGAGCTCATTAAAGACAAGGGCTGAAAGGTAGCACAGACGTCTTCATCTGTGCTGGTTGTTCCTGTTCAGGCACTACTAACCTGGACAAGCTCAGGTCTTGCTCCCCAAATCCCACAGAAGTTCTGGAGACTTCTGAACCTAACAAACAAAGGTCCTGGGAAGGCCACATTCATTCCACATCTGACCCCAACACCACATCTGCTCTGAGGTTACCCCAAATCTCTGAACAAAAACTCAATCACCTGTGCTTGCTGCCTTTCCTCGCTGGCAGGTGCCCTCCAAAAAAATAGGAACATAGGAAGTGCCAAAGCAAGGAACTGCTTCCAAGGCAGCTGACATCACCGGATTGGGAGGTAAAGCTAGAGGTTTCTCCCAATCTGTAGTGGGGAAATTTGGGGACAAACATTTATCTTCAGAGGCCGGTCTACACTGCCCCTTCCAGTGTCACAGGCTGTCACAATTCACCTGGCTTTGAAGTGTTCAGCTGAAGACCATTCTCCCAGCATCAACACCAACAGGCAAAACCATCAGCTGAAGCTTTCACAGCTGCCAGGGTACTTGCTGTCCTCAACATAGTTCATACTCAACTCGGCTCTATTTTATTTACCAGTCTTCTCCCCTAGTCTTGGAAAATTCTCCTTTCAGCCCTCTGCCAAACCACATCCCTATTTCAAACCTTTCCAAATTCTCACCTCCAAAAAGCAGCGCCAGGCAAGCACACCTGGCTCCAATTACTCCAGCAACGCCTTCCCCCAGCCCCAGCCCCAGCCCCAACCCCAGCTCTAGCCCCAGCCCTAGGCCCAGCCCCACATCCCTCTAACATGCCTGATTACTTAGCACTTACGTGTTTATCTCAGCCCAGCTGTAGTTGATTAAATCTATTTGGTTAAGTTTCTATCTCGTGTATTTAGGGCAATACATGAGATATTTCTACATCTCTGTACTTTCTGTTACAGGTGTTGCTCTTTGTCCCTGGATGCACAGTGGGTGACCGTGAGCTCTGAGGACTGCCTTTTTTCTCACTCCCGCAATGCTTTGCACGGGTGCCCAGTTCACAAAGGCAGCTGCAGCTGACTGTCCAACTGCCTGGTTCTAATTTATGTGGAGAGAGGCCTCCGCTCAACAAACTGAAATAATTCGTTCTTCTAATCTTCCGTATTTTAATAAATAAATGAAAGATGGAGAAAGATTCACGTGTACTCTGTCCTGACGAAACAGTAGAGCTCTTTGGAAAATCATGAAATTTTTACTGTGCAAAGCAGTAAGATACAAGCAATGAAACTCAAAAGCATTTTCCCAAGTATTCAGAGGCCAGATCTGCCCCCAGATCTGTAAATCCTATGTAATCTAGGCTAAAAAAAAAACCAAAAAAAACCCATAAGAAGACATGAGACACCCTTAGTTGACATTTCAGCTTTTAGGTGGTTCCTTACTCACTGGATGCTGAGGGTTTCTTTAAGGGGATTTTGTAGTTTAACAACTCCAGAAATGCTTTTGACTTTAGTTTTCAATTGGTATTTTGAAATATTAATTTTCTCAACGTCTTTATATTGACAAAAAAGAAACAGATCCAAATGGGTCTACACACTTGCCCTCAAGTTTAAACAAAAAAGATCACAACACAGGGAAGACCAAGTCTTTTATTAAGACTCACAATCCAGTGCTCTCTTCTATACCTTGAAGCCTTGGTTTAAGAAACATTACTTTATGCCCAAGCCATACATACCAACATCAATAACTGGATCTCTTCAAAAAATGTAATTAATGAGAAACTTCCATATACAGAATTTCTAGACTTAACCTATTTGCTAAAGCTAAACTGTGACATCAACATACTCATTTGTTCATGCAAATATTTATTTCACAAATATTTCTTGAGTGCTTACTATGTAGTGGGCCCTGTCCTAATTCCTGGCAATACCAACTAACAAAATAAAACATCTATCCTGATGAATATACTAGCAGAAGAGATAGACAGTGAACATATTTAAAAATAAGTGAGTATCAGGTGGTAATATATTTTTTAAAGTAAAACAGTAAAAGCGTGTGTGTGGGGGTGGGGGGGAGGGGGGTGCTATGACTATTTTAATGGGATGGCCAATGAAGGCATCTCTCTGGAGGTAATGGCAAAGCAGGGACTGGGTGAAGGCAGCCACATGAATAACCGGGAGAAGTGCTTCCGGCAAAACAAAGAGCCCATGCAAAGGACAGGAGGCAAGATGTCAGGGCCCACGGCAGCACAGTGAGCAATGGTGAGAGTGCTGGGAGAAGGGGAAAAAGATCATTCAGGGCTCTGGTGGGGACTGGAGATTTTCATTTAAATGTAAGGGGAAACCATGGCAGGAAGCTGAAATGAACTTCGTGACTGGACTGAAGTCTTTCAAAAGATCATGCTGGCTGCCACTTAGAGAATAGATCTTATTGGCTAACAATGACAGCAGCTGACATTTACAGAGTGCTGATGATATTCCACGCACTGTTCTAAGCACCAGTCATGCTTTAATTATTTAATAGTCACAGCACCTCTATGAAGTAGATACTATGATTATGCCCATATGAGGAAAATGAGGCATAAAGAAGTTAACTGACTTGCCCAAAGCCCCACAGCTCACAAGCAGTGGAGCCAGGCTTCCAACACTGGCACTCTACCCCAGATCTTGCACTCCTAAGAGGGATGGGCCAGAGGCCCACTGCATCTCAAGTAAAAATGTGGTGGTGGCTCAGACCGAAGGTGGTGGTCAGAAGTGGGCAGATTCAGAATATGGTCTTAGGGCAGAACAAATAGGATTGGATATGACATCTGAGCAAACACAGGAAGTCATGGATAATAATGCCAAGGACTGTGGCCCTGGCAACTGTGTGACAGTGTCCTTTCCAGAGCTGGGGAACACAGGAGTAAACAAACTGGAGACAGGAGGCAGCATGGAACTCAAACTAATGTGAGAGTGTGCTCACTTCCCATGCTGCTGTAACAAATCACCATAAACTGGTGGTTTAGAACAACAGAAGGCTATTCTCTCACAGTTCTGGAGGCCAGAAGTCCAAAATCAGTACTGCTAGGCCAAAACCAAGGTGTCAGCAGAGCCACACTCCCTCCAGAGGCTTCAGAAGACAACCTGTTTCCAGCCTCTTCCAGGTTCTCGTGGCTGCTGGCATTCTTTGGCCTGTGGTTCCAGACCACCAATCTCTGCCTGTATGGTCACATTGTCTTCCCTTTTGTCTGTGTCATCAAATCCCTGTCTTATAAGGATACATGTGACTGCATTTAGGGGCCAGCAGATAATCCAGGATAACCCTCCATCTCACAATTCTTAATTTAATCACACCTCCTAAGGCTTTTTCTATATAAGGCAACATTCCCAGGTTTAGGGGGTTAGAACATGGGCATATCTTTGGGAACCATTATTTGGCCTATCACAGTCAGGAATACCATAAATAAAAACAATAAAACATACAGGTGTGGAAAAACAGTAAGCAAAGCTTTTCTCTCTTTTACATGAGAATGTGATCTTCTGTTAACTCTCTCAATTCTGTAACCCTGGTAATCTGGTAAGATAATATGCCAATTATAATACAAGGCAACTTGCTATTGGGACTGGAAAATTTTAAGACATCTGATAAGAAGTGACATCTGGGGGCTTCCCTGAGAGCAGTGATTCTTGTAAACTGGGCATATTTATGAGAGAGTACCAAGGAAACTATTTCTACATAGTTGCCTACTAGCTCCTGCAAGGATCTAAGGCTTCTTTTTTTTTTGACATGGAATTTCACTCTTGTTGCCCAGGCTGGAATGCGATGGCACGATCTTGGCTCACTGCAACCTCCACCTCCCGGGCTCAGGCGATTCTCCTGCCTCAGCCTCCCAAATAGCTGGGAATAACAGGCATGCGTCACCACACCTGGCTAACTTTGTATTTTTAGTAGAGACGGGTTTCATCATGTTGGTTCGGCTGCTCTCAAACTCCTGACCTCAGGTGACCCACCCGCCTCGGCCTCCCAAAGTGCTGGGAATACAGGTATGAGCCACCACACCTGGCCTGCCTAAGGCTTTTAAACTAGAGAACTACACACACACACACACACACACACACATAGATCTCATCTCCTGGCATTTGAGCCATCAGCTGGAGAGCTCTGGATGGCTATGTGAACTGATGAACTGATGTGTGGACAGTCACAAGGCACACAAGGAGGAACGCCTTGCTGCCGTGCCGTAAGCTGTGGTCCTTGTCCTATATCCTTTTAATAGAATGAAGCCACCTACGGCCTATGATAGTTTCATGGGTCTGAGTGTTTATTTGGACCCAAGAAGACTCCTTGCCTGAGTTTGCTGCCACATGTAATAATATCGTTTCAGTTCATTACTTCCATTTCTTCCTCCACCACAGTTACCAGCAGCAAAAAGGAGTACAGCATTTGTTTCATCTGTTCATGCTCTTGTGTGGCCTCACTCAAACAGCAAAATGGCGAAAAAGGGCAAAGGGAAAGGAAAAGCTAGAGAATAAAAATGAGTAAATTCACAAAAACTGAGCTAACTGTTCCCTCAGGGAGAAGTGAGCACTGCCTACGAGAAACAAGCTGCGCTGCCTGTGCTGTGCCTTCCAGAGGCCTCTCCAGCAGAATGAAATGCAAAATCCCTAACCCACAATTCTGCTGGAAATGTGCAAGTGGGCTCATTACTCAGAGCCAAGATAAAGGATAAATCTTTATGAGTACCGTAAGTATGAGTCATAAAAAATAGGAAACATATGTAGGACGTATACACGGTAATAGCACCAAGCCAGAGAAAGTGTTTAGGAAATGTATTTAAGCACACATGACAAAACAGGACGAAAAATTGCCCTTGTACATTGCTCCAAAACACATTAAAAAAAATAACCTCACAGCAAGTCAAGGGCCCATATCACTTTGTTGATCTCGAATAAACACAGATCATTTCCATATTTGGAAATAGGCTGGCCTTTTGTTTTTTTTTTTTAATGCAAATAGGAGGAGAGCCGAATCAAGAAAAAGTAACTTGGAGTAGACTTTGAAAGATTTTATGATTTGGGAAATTTGAACAGCTTCCAACTAAAATACTGGGAATTAGATCTTAACAGCATTAAAAATGAACAAGAAAGATTCTTTTAGAAAAATAATTGTTCACAATGGTAATATTACCATTTCATTTAGATTTTCACTATCTTAATAACCAGTGGAAAAACAAGTGGAATCTTCAAACCTTACGAAAGCAGGAATCAAAAATAAACAGCAACACATGGGCTGACAACATACTGAGAGCAATCAAGGGCCTGTGTGAAAGCCCTCACGGGGATGCTGGGCTCTGCAGGAAGAACTCGCAGCAAGGAAGAGGCAGAGCCCCCTGGCCAAAAGCACCAAGTGACCATCTGGCGGAGGGGGGTGTTCAGAATAGACGGGAGGGTGATCGGCCCCCAGAAGTCTTTTGGGGCCAGATGACTGAGGCAAAATGTATCATCATTGGAAATTAAGCTCTTCAGTTGCCTTAGATTTTGGAAGACACCCGAATTTAAGACAGCTTGGCAAGGCTAGGAGACACCTACATGCCCAACACAGAATCATGAGTTTCCCAACGGACCTTTGGCTCCCTTGGACCAGGGCTTTCTCCTTTACCTTCAGAAACTGCTGCCTCCCAAGGAAAGCACTGCTTGCGCATCGACTGACCTGAGGTTGAGAGGAGGAGCAGAGGAATGTGGAAAGGATTGTTTTTACCTTCATTAAGTGTTAAATTTAGGACTCCCAGAAAGTCAATGCTCTTCAGGAACTATTCTGAGGCAGAAATTTCAATATAACTTCCACCTCACGAAAAAATCCAACCGTAGGCCATTAAAAGACCCCAGGGGCATGGCGAGGGCTGAGAGGTATGATAGCTCACTTTCGACCTTTTGTTGCTCAGGCCTGTCAGCAGTTGCTATACCTCTTTGCTCCTCTCCCCCAAGGCACCTCAGTATGTGCTCACATCACTGGTAGTGAGGCCACACCTCCCTCTGTGAGGGGCACTCACCTTTTAAGAAGACATTGATGCCGCTTCCATGTAAACGGGTCCAGAGCCATGGAGTCCCTAACCTGTGGCAAGCCCCGCATTAGGCACAGAGAACCAACAGCCACGTCACCGACTTGCTGGAGCAAATTCAAAATGGATCAGATGTGTGTACATATGTATCAACAAATAGTTAAGCTATAATGGGCACACGGGGACACTTCAGCTCTGGGCAAGAGTTAGGCTATAGCAGCAACCTTGGATCCTAAAGCTGGGCTCTGTCCTTGCCTCACAGTGAGAATCAGTAACACCTCATCTCATTATCTCTCTTATCTTCAAAAGTATCCAAAAGTCATACCTGTAATTTGCCCCTTTT